ATTGCTCCCCTCCTTCAGAGTTCTTGAAAAAGCCCTCTGAATCTCAGTGCAGTTTTAAAAAATTTGCAATTCCTGATGGAATATGACTTCTATAGAAGCAAAACATTGATACTGATCTGCACTGAGCTGGTTAGTCCCTTTGGAACATGCTGGTTCTGACTGCATTTCGGTATGCAACATAAGAAGCTGAGAACACATTGATTTAACAGAGAAATATTTCAAATGACGATGGGAATGAAATAGAAGGAAATCAGTATTTCTGTCATGCTAACTTAGCTAGAGTGTGCAATGATTCCATCATTATTGCCTTTTGGGATTCAAAACAGGCAGAGGCAGCTGTTCAGGAGTGGCATACAGATTTCTGAGTGCTGAGTGTTGAAGGCTTAAATTCTAGTATGAATGTCTAACTTACCGTGTTAAAGTACATGCAACCTCTGCCTTTTAACCCTCTTCCAATACTGCACTTGTAATTCTTGTGGTACCAATGCAATGATGCTTAAGTAAAACAAGCCATTTTGTTGCTCTCTCCTCATTTGGCTTTGTTGTAGTAGTATATTAATTCTGAAGACAACATAAATCAGAAAATAATATAGTTTACCTAATAGATCAGAAAATAACTTCATGTAAATGTCCATGTCCTGTCATCAGAAGCAAGAGATTGGTAATTTTAACCAGCATGACAAAAAAATAATTGCAAAAAGCAAATTCTGACCCAATATAGGAAACTCTTTCATGCTGGTTCAGTTTTTGCCTACCATAAGATTAAATACACAACCTCATAAGGTTGTTGTTGCAGTACTGATAATGTGCATTTAATGTATAGGGGAAAAAGAACTTTAAGTTATATACAACTTTAAAATAAACTCTCATTGCTTCAGATTATATTTATAAAATGCCTCTTATCTAATAGAGCATTACATTGTTTTAATGTGACATTTGGTTGCACAATATACTAAATGTAATATACACAAGTTTTCCATCTCTTGAGAAGAGCAACAATGCTGTTTTATTTGAATGCTGTTCTATTTGAATTTGAATTTGAAATATATCTACTCCTCACAAATGAAAAGATGATTGAGAAAACACAAAGTTTACCACAAATTCTAAATTTTCAATCTGCAGTAAAGGCAACATGAAGAGAATTACACCAATATACAAAAAAGTAGTAGTGTAGAAATATATTGCCTCTCCTAAAAAAATAGTATTTAAATAAATGAGGGATAAATATAGATTAAGAAAAGAATTTAAAAATTCTTAGTTTTTAACTTTTTCTTTGACTAAATTCATAAACGAATCATATTCCACTAAATTAATCTGTTGATTGGTCCTAATAGTGACTGAATTATCACAATTGTGGAACATGCAATAGTTAACAGCCAGTACAAACCAGGCAAAATTTTTAATGGTCCTTCCATGGCTAGAAATTTCTTTTAAACAGAAGTAACTTTGTTAGAAAGTGAATGCTTGAGACTGGAGTCCCAACATATTTGGGAAGGTGCCAAATTAGAAAAAAAATCTATCAAAGAAATGAGTCTTTGAGACACAGCAAAGTAAATGAAACAGTTTAGATGTAGTACTGTACATTTTCCCAAGATCAGCAGTCCTACCAGATGCATGTCATTACAGGTCAACTCAGTCCAGGACATACATAGATGCATTCAGCTGATAATTCTGGAATTGGAAAAACATTGTTTTTCCACTTGGAGTGGCCCCATTCATTCTCATGTAAAAGAAATTCCCATATGAAGATCATCTTTCAAGGTTCTGCTGCTGCTGCTATCAACTCCGTCGAAGGAAGGTTGAAGTTTGGTTTGAGAGAATTCTCCCTAGTGATGTTTGTCTCTGTCTTGATCCTACTTCTCTTCCTACTCTGCCATAAATCTAACTTAATCTTACAATCAGATAATCAAAAGTCAGTAATGACTAGCAAACTGTTCCAAGAATTACAACAAAAGAGATTCCTTTCATTGAGTTTCATTCTCCACACAATGAAGAAAAGCAAACCAGAAAACATTTTTCTTACAATCAGAAACTTACTTCAGATCCCAAACAGAAGCAGTGAATGAAAGCAAGCAGGCATCTTACTTGCTACTAGTGTTAAACAAGAGTAATTCCCTGGCTGCCACACTTCATTGTATAGGGATTTTTGGAGTTTATTTTGTACAGAGACACAGGATTTATTGTCAGATTTCCTGGCTGCGTGCTGTGCAGGTTGCATGGGAAATCTGACTGAGGTGAGTAAATTAATGTGGTGCCTGTTTGGAATGTCATCCAGCTGCCAATTAGAATTATGCTTGTTTGCCTTTGGCTCAAAGTGTGAACGAAGCAGCCATACATTTCAGAAGTGTGAACATACATTTTTATATCTCACGCAAACGAATGCATTTTTTATATTCTTCCCACTTCAGAGGGAGCATTTATTTACTCTTTGTGTGTGGTACAGAACGAGGACTTTGGCCTCCAATGTAACATGACTAATGTGACATTAGATGAACAACACTTAATTTTGTTTTCATTTAGATCAAAAGAAAGGCAAAGTTATTCTGGTGTTTTAGTAAATCTCAGACAGCAAAAAGGAAGAATTTGTTTTCTTCTTCTTGCTGTATGCCCTTATCTATATACAGTAGATAAAACTGGAATGATTTAAGATAATGAAATAAGGTAAATTAAACCTTTAAAATAAAATAAAAAGTAAGTAAGGGAAGAAAAACAAAAAATGAAACGAGCCATTTCTATTGAATTCATGCAGAGAATGCTTGGATGAAGAGAATGGTAGTGTGCAGGCATTTAAAAGATATGAGAACAGATGCCTTATTAATTTACAAAATGTTACAAGATTTCATATGGCTGCATAAAGGCACATTTTCTTCAGAACTTTCTATTTTAAGGCATTCATTTCTCATACACACCCTCATTCTCACCTTTAGGCATGACCTCTTCTTTTATCAACAAACTGATGACAGTGCAGTTTATGATAGGTTTTGATGTGAAAGAAAAATTGAATTGCTTTGGGTGCTAATACGATTAGCATTTTTCCCAACTGGAGCTGTCAATAACTGACACTAAACCAATAAGTAACAAAGACGCTTGAAAGATGTCAATCATCATTGGATCTATGCTTTGCTCTAGATAAATTATTTTAGAAAGTTAATTTGTTTGAAGGAAGGCATTCTGAGACAGAACAAGAAGAAAAAGAGAGTGAAAAAAGAGAAAGGACAAAAGAAAATAAGAAAATATTATACTAGTAGATATAACAACTTTTCTTGTTCTAACATTGGGAGTTAATTGAGGTGTCTTTGTGCTCTCTGAGCTTGGTTGTTTTTCTTGCAAGAAAACAACCAAGCTCAGAGAGCAACAACAACCCTTCATTTGAACCCTGAGCTACAGATATTCTCTTTTATTGGTACTTAAATGAGGAGTTTTTGATAAGAAAATCCAGTCATGTTTGTTCAACTCTCTACATAATTTCAGTGTGCAATACAGGAGTTGATTTGGACTCGACTTTCATAAAAATAACATGCCAAACTATAAAACAATAACTAAAACTAGACACAATTTATATTCTTGTAGGTCTTTACAGAAACAATTACAGCAAGCCACCCAAAGTTGTTTTAATATGGGCAGCTATACAAATATTTTAAAATAAATAGTGAAGCTTTCTCAGTTTTGTTTTTCATTAGCCTACTTTTGTACTTCCGATGTACAAATGTCTTAAGCAAAGTATTTATGTTTCATTGTTCATTAAAGAATACACTGAAAGTGACAAATATAAATTCATACAGTACATGAAAACAACCTTCAGAAATGATAAGGTTTAGATAAATTTTAGAATCCAGTATCAGTGTTGGATTATAAAAAGACAAAATGAGAAGTACCATCTGCAATATGAATTCTTCCCCTGTCAAATTTAAAAAATTTCAGACTTTATGAAAAAAGTTTTGCTGTGTGAAAAATACATTGTATTCATCTCTATCCCCATTAAGCATAGATAGTAAGTGTCAAATGGCACATGCTATAAAACTGATGGAAAGTTAAATATTTTTCCAGTGTAGGCATTTGTAACGCTCAATGCTTTTACCATGCTATTCTCACTCACAAAATAATTCAAAAGATTAAAATTTCCAGCTTTGTTTTTTGAGGAAACACTGGATAAGCTTGTCCTGCTGATGTATTTAAGAGGAATATAAACATTTAAATAACAACTAAATAAAATCCATCTTTGCTTTAATTTAAGTGATTAACTGATAAATAAATTAGAAAATTGGTAATCTCAGATTGTTCTCAGGCATGCAGGCCTCACATATAAGAACAAAAGCCCAGAATATTTTATTTAAGACATTTAAATAGCTGCTCATCTTATAACCAATTCTGAGCAATCAAAGTAAAAACAAAACCATAATAAAACCAAAAAAACTAAGCACATTAAAAAATAAAAAACCTGGCATCTTATCACATTGTTTCTTATCCCAGCATTGGGGGGGGGGGAAACTATTACCCTGACAGGAGAGGAATCTTTGTTTAATGAACATAATTGAAACCCAGGTATAAAAGCTAGAACTGGGGTTTAGAATCCAACATTTCATCCAAATATGGAAGCAATTTTGTATCCAATGTGTCAGAATTTGTTTGCGTTAACTCCACAGCCTTGCAATAATGCTGTATCTTAAATTATTTTAGTTTAGAAGGCTAACCTTCTCGAATTTTCTTTGGACAAAATGGCTGCGTTTTATCAGCAGCAGGACTCTACAGTGGCTTATGCTCCCTCTTCTGGCTGGCATGTAGACCCAAAATGGCTTTTAAAATTGGTCTTGTACTTGTATTGTTTCATTTCACAAAGACGTTTTAATGTTCATGTCTCTGTAGTGTTTTGAGGTTTAGTTCAGAAACTGAAAGCTCAGAAAGAATTGATCGAAGACCAATGCAGTAGTACAGTTTATTATTTAGTGTATTTTACATTTACTCTCCAAAGCTAATTTGTACTAGTAAAGGGGTACAAAATGACAAATCTTAACTATTGAGAATTTATGACCACTAAACAGTGAACAATTTATCTGCATATTTTGTATGTTTTGAGTGGGGATTACCCTCTGAAGTTTATTTTGTTCTGTATTTGGCTGCATTTTACATTGTGGCTGTTAGCTTTTATATCTACAGTACCAGTTGTTTGTTGATAGTTTTAAAAATTATTGTTATGTGTTTATGTGGTATGCTGCCCAGAATCACAGAGTTGGGCAGCCTTATAAATCTTGATAAATATATAAATGAAACATTCAAGTGGTGGTACTTTTGAAGTTTATCCAACTTGGAGCTTATTAGAATTGATCCAGATCTATGCTTTGCATAGTTTTGTATTATTGATAAAAGTCATGATTTTTCCTATGTGCTTGTCTGTGTTCTACATACCACGTGTTTTCCATGAAGTAACACCTATCTAAACACCCAAACCTCATAACCAGGGTTTAGCCTGATGGTGAACTCAAATCACTCAATTAAATTTAGAGATCTGCATTGTAACAAAATAAAAAGTTCCTCCCGTACTTAGAAGGAAAAGAAAGTGAGCAAACTGCTAGTATCTGAAGTCCATTGAAAGAAGAAAAAGAGAGCACATCTGTTCTCTATTCTCCTTTCTTGCAACGTCTGAAAACACACAGATCTAATTTCTCATTGCAGCTGGCCACAGGGAGGTCAATTTGAGTGTATTCATTCTCTGAAGATTCACTCTAGAATGTTTTGGTTTCAGTCCCAGCCTTTAGCTGTCTTTTGCTTTCAGGCTGGTTTACAGAGTGCATTTTATTCAAATACCTTTTGGGTATTCAAGGGTGATTCTTGAATCCACTCTAAAGCTGACTTCTGAGTTCCGCAGAAAGAAATTTCATTCTCTCTGTTGGTTCACATGTGGTCTTCGCTTTCTGTAAGGATTGCCTTTGAATTCTGTCCCATGTGACCCTTCATGAATCATTGCCCACTTGATCTTAACTTCCTCTGCTTAAGATTTAAATTTTCAAAATTTTCCATGGAATCTTATGAAGGCTCCTCTGTGCTCCTGGAAAGGAAATCTCCAAGGCTATTGATAGGATGTTTTGGAAGATGCTGACTGGTCAATAGGTTGCATTCTTATTGCTTCACTTGTTTGGGGGGAGGTTGGGCAGAAAGCCAAATAACTTCATGGTGCATATGTAAGCTCAGATTACATTGGTCCTTTGGGTTCAGTTACAGTTAGCCTTTCGGACTCAAATTATTCATAGTAGATTGCGATTAATGAAGCTCTGAAAGAAGAATGACACACAGATAATTATGAGAATCATAATCTTTCTTCCTGGAGCATTATCAGTTAATTCCACTGCTTATATTCCCAAAATAGCAACACATAAAAAACTGAAAAAGTTATACAGAACATTTATAGAAACCGCAATTTTAAAACAAATGTATATAAAGAAGAGGAATGTTTAATGAGATAGACTTTATAAAGAACAAAATACATGAATTCACTGGTACATAGATGTTATAGAGACATGGCTGGTTTGCAAGGAGAGAAATCTCATAGTAAATTATCTAGAGTAAACATACTCTAGACAACATAGCAATGAACTTATAATAATTATAGATGGACTAAGCTACATGATTTCCCAATATTTCACAACAAAAATTCATTTTTAACCAATTTCTGGCAAGCTATCAGGTTAAGTACAAACCTAGCTTTTAGCACAGCTATTATTTCACAAGATAGAGGCCATTACAGAAAATCACTGTTCCTGAGCCCAAACCATTTTATCTTCCCAGAATGGAAAGTTACCTGCTTATTTTGTTTCAGGAAGAACATACTACTTGGAGACATTCCTGGAGATACCTAGAAGCCAAGCTTAGAGCTTTATAGGTGAACACCAGAATTTTTAATTGCACCTGCAGACCTATTAGGAGTCAATTTAGGGTCTATTGCATAGGTGTTAATATGACTACAGCAACTGTCACCCATCAATGAGCTGCTGACATTTGGATTAATGTACAGTATAGCATGTTGTAGTAATCTAGTTCTATAGTGCTAACGAAAAACTACAGCTGTTGGGGTTCTAGAACAAAGGAGTAACATGACAGCAGTATAGGTAGTCCTTACTTAACAGTCAGTTGCTTAGTGACTGTTTGAAGTTACCAGGGATCCCCTAAAGGTACTTATGACTTGAATTTGAAGTTTTGATGGCTGACCCCCTCACTGCGGTCACATAATTTCATTTCAAATGCTCGACAACTAGTCTGCATTTACAGCCATTTGTAATCTTTCATGGTCATATGACTGTATTGTTGGAAACCAGCATTTACTTCGAGTTTTTAGCAAAAAATGTCAGAACAGTGGATTTGTTTAACAACCACAGCATTTGATTAATGACTGTGGTGTTCATGATAGTTGCAAAAAATGTTGTAAAATCAGGTCAGTCATATAATGAACTGGCACAACTTACTTATGTCCATAATTCCAGGCTCAATTAATGTTATAAGTTGAGGACTACCTGTATATAAAATCATGCATAAAGTAATATTACACAGAGTTTTGCACAGAACAGAGTGATTATTATAAACCATCAAGAGTTTTGTGATTGCAAGTCCAATAAATTAATCAATTAGACAGAAAATAGTTTCTTCCTGTCTCGCAATAAAAGAACCTCAGTTATTCTGTTGAAATTAATGTAGGATATTCAGGATTTAGAGAATGACGTATTGGCTTTATTCAGAGAAAATTATGGAATTGACAGCCAGCAATTTTGCTAATGACAGCCAATTTCAATGGTTTTAAAAAGGGACAAATGAGATTCATGGAGGATCAAATTATGAATGTGACATAGAATTTTGGACAAGACTGGATTCCAAAACTCCCACCCATGATTCCAGACACTATATTGTCTATTCCTGGTTTATTATTTAGGATGTTGTGTGAATCCAACTATTATAACATCTTCATGAAGCAGGTGTATGTGACAAGTCAGTCAATTTATAAATTATTGAATAAGACAAATGATTTTTGAATTCCAATAATAACATGCCATAAAATGTCTGTTGAAGGATAATTATGCTTCTTTGAAATTAAATTCTGAAACAGACTTTACCATGAAAAATAGCAAAATAGTTTAGGATTCCAAATGCAAGTCATTTTTGAGATTTTGTTAAGCTGGAGTGCTCTTGGTTCTATTATAACAATAACCAATCAAATAGTTGTCCTGAATTACAAAAGTATAGAAAAAATATATTAATGAACAAAATCACCTAATCTAAGCAATATTTTCTAAATGCTTATTATTAGAATAAAGAAATAAGAATTAGCTATCACTGTCCAGAGCCCCTCTTTCAGGGAGATGAGTGGTTTAGAAATAAAAAATATAAATATATACTGGGAAAATAGATTTAAATTCTTGATTGATACCAATTTATTATAGTTCCTTCTAGCACATTTTGCTCCGTGATGAAATATGCTTTAGTCTAAGTCAGTTTTCTGAGCCTCAGCAACTTTAAGATGTGTGGACTTCAATTCCCAGAAATCCCCAGATAGCATGGGAGTTAAAGTCCACACATCTTAAAATTGCTGAGGCTGAGACATCTAACTTTAAAGATTTAAAATTTAGAAGTCAGCAAGTACTTAATATTTGTTGTTAGAAAACTTCACTTGGGAATAAAACTTTTCTCTTTTAGAGATGGTTGTTTTTTGCAACAAGATTTTTTAGACCTTGGTTGTTTGCACTTGAAATATTTCTATTGCCTCTTCTTTGAGGTACAAGGTCATAGGAAATCAGATTTTATACAACATTTTAGAATGAAATGGTAAGGTAAAAGTAGCAATTTAGTAAGTATTTAGGCTGCATTTATACAATATCAAGCCAAAACATATTGTAATGATTTGGTTTGCATAATATGGTAAGCCAAAATCAAAGATCTACATTTTGGTTTACCATGTTATATGAACCTGTTCTTATATCTGAGATTATAGTATTTTCACCCCCCCCACTCCTCCCCCATTACCAATGTCCATTCAATTGTGGCTGTGCCCACAGAAAACCACAATGACGCAAAAATGACATCCGTTCAGAGGTGTCATAATGCCAAATACATACTTGCATCCCAATGTCTGATGCAAGTAAGTACATTGCAAGATTTTCATCATGACACACATTTCATTATATGCTTTAATTTCCCCCCTTGTGGATGCACTGATTCACTGACTCAGGTCAGCCTTGCTTGCCTGGACAAAGTAGCAACAATAATAGCCACTGGGGCTTGAAATAGACTGAAGGTCTAATGGCAGGATATACTACCTCCAGCTTCTCCCAAAGAAAACCGAGGAATCTTGAAAGCAGCATCTGTTGCAAATACAAGAGTGGGAAAGAAATTCTAAATCAGTGTTTTTCAAACTAGGTGACTTCCAGAATTCTCCAGCCAGCATGTATTGCCAACGTTGTCTAGTTCCTAAATGGACAATTCTAAATAAAAGTATTGCTTTGACCTTTCATGACTTTGGTTCTTTTAAACTTTATTGACTCTAGGTTACAACAGGATGGTGTCTAGACATGACAAGGGAATCCTGCAGTAGACCTAGCCCGGTCCTTCTGCATGATGCAACTGGGGACTGGTTCTCTTGCTAAGTGATGATGCGCCAAAGAGGGACGATCGGCTGGAGGAATTAACCAACTATACCGGCTGCCCCACAGACTCAGGACAGCATCCTTCAGCAGTGAGTCAAAACAAAAGCGAGATAAATTGTCCACATTTCATGCCAGCTGAAAGAGACGTGAAGACAGTAGCACTTCAGCAGCAGAGAAACCCTAGTCTCCTTTCATCTCTACATCAAACATTAAAGCGAAGCTGTGGTTGGGCCAATGCTCCTGAGACCGGCGTCCACGCCATCACTGACCCAAATCCTTTGGATCCTCACAATATGTCGGACACACATTCAATTATCGAGCCGGCGGTGCTTTAAAATGCAAGTCGCCAGAAGAGGCGGAGGAGTCAGACCGGTTCATTCTTCGCTTTCCCTGGGAAAGCGACGTGGGTCCCGGTCCAAACCTCTTCCTCGCGCCTGGACTTGGACTCTCCTGCTCCGCTGCAACCTTCATGAAGAATGCCGGGACCAGAAACACCCGCGAGGGAAGAAAAACTTGGCTTATTACTTCCCAGGAGAACTCTGCTCCAAAAATAACGGGATACTCCGAAGTCCGTAGTATTGTCTGAACTCGCGGCAGCCGCTGCGAAATAGAAAGCGACTCCTCGGGCTCTGAGCGCAAGCGCTTCCCACCAGCTTTCCCTCTTTTCGCCCTCCGGAATGTCTTCCGCCGGATGGTGTCATCGCGAAACCTGTCCCTAAGACTTTGAAGGGCGGCTTTAAGGGGAACACCAGTTGTCGTGGAACCCGGAAGTGTCCCGGCGGACTTGCAGAGCGCAGCCCCTTTGACCCTCGGCGGTGCTTTTCTGTTAGGCTGACCCTGAAAATGAGGGTCCCGGCGGTGGCTAGCCCGGAACGCCACGGTTTGTGAGGTAGCCGGGAAGAGCAGTTTTTGACCGTGGAGGCCTAATGAGAAAACGGACTCGGCGGGCAGAAGAAGAGCCGGAGGCTGCTTGGGCAGAAGTTTACTCATGAGGCAGATGTGAAGACACAAAGCAGGAGCACGCATCTGGACGCGTGTCACACTCGAAGGCAGCCGAAGAGGGGGTTCAACGTGAAAGAAGGGTGGGAGCCTCAGCCCCAGAGGTACGAAGCTGCTGCCTCTTGGACCTGCTTTGGGGGGGGGCGACGCCGAATTTCGGGGTTCGGGTCGAACCCCTGAAAGGTACATGGTTGTTTGCATGCTTTCTGCTGTGCCCTGTGACCTTCTGAGAATATATTGCTGCTTTAATGAGAGATGGTCTGTTGTCGTGGTCCGTAAAAATATGAATTATGTATGACGTGTGAGTAGGCGGTTTTGTTTCTTAACTAGCTACAGTTAACTGAGTTGAAAGATATGCTAAGTCATGACATTGCGACAAATAGACGATACATATAGTGAAAACTTTTTTGGGGGGGGAATAGACACAGCAGTGTCAGTAGTGTTGTGTGCTAAAGTTATTTTATAATATTTTTTCAAATATTTGCCTGCTTGCATTCAGACAAGAAGATCATGATCATTTATGGGCAGAATACAAATTTATTCAAAGTACATCAGTACTGATGCCCTAATTATTTTTTGCACGTAAAGTCTACTTGTATTGTTGCCTAAGAGCAAACAGATTACAGAAAGTACTAACATTTAATTTGCTGTACATTGCAATCCAATATTATGGAGTTAAATCATTGACTGAATTAAAAAACATTAAACCCAAATGCAGAAATTTAGTTTTGGCTTGTGTGGAAGATGTGTGGAAGAAGACATCATGCTGGTTGCAATCCTTTTAATTGCAGCCTCATTTTCTGAAAGTCATTGTTTGATGGATATGATTGTATATATATGTGTGTTTTATATACAAACACAGACAGACATGCATGTAGTGGAGGGGGGTTCAAAGGGGAAGAGGTTTTGTTGGAGCAAATATAGTTGTAGTTTGCTGGATATATACATATAATAGCAATATCTTTATTATCATTTAGCTGAGAATAAAAGCCACAGATTCCACTGGATTTACTTTTACTTTTTAATACCTAGTTATATATTGCATTAAATTTTCAAGTAAATATATATTGATCCAAAGTGTTAGAGTACAGTATAGCATTTTAAATCCATGAGCTTTTGTTTAATATACAGCTAACCCTAAATTATTATGTATACTAAAGTTACAATATGTTTTCTTAAAAGGCTCTTGTCAATAAAGGCACAATGCTGGAATCCTATGTAACTCCTATTCTAATGAGTTATGTGAATCGTTATATCAAGAATTTGAAGCCCTCTGATTTACAGTTGTCACTCTGGGGAGGAGATGTAGTTCTCAGCAAACTTGAACTAAAACTTGATGTTCTTGAACAGGTATATTATAATTGTAATCATTTTGATTAAGTCTTAAAACTTTATCCTAAAATACGTTATTCTTAATGATAATAGTCTGAGAATATTATTAGATTACAATATATACTATATATTATAACTACATGATATAATGTATTAATATTTCATATGTCTTTGTTATATTGATAAATACTGCGTGTGTCTAAACGCATATCTACATAATACATGTGATAATTTTGGAAGGATTTCAGTTAAATTATGCAACTTTTTCACTAAAATATTAAAATAGGCTACGGTTTCCATTATATGAATAAATAACCATTCTTTGATAATTAATGTGGAATACTATGTAGCCAGAACACTTTTAAAAATCTAATTCTGTTAAAACGTTCTAAATTAACATTTTGTACATTGAAGTCTTAATGCTATACTGTAAAATACTTATTGCTACTAATATTTATTCTTTGTTGACATGTGAACTGGTTATTGTTAAAACTTACATTTGAATCAATGGGCGGTTATCAAGCAATGGATATAAATACAAAAGTTCTCATAAGTCAGCAAAAAAAGCATAAACATCTCACATAATATATTGTAGATTAAAATTGCAATTGCAGCTATAACTGTTATTGTCTGGGTTCTCAGCTTTAAGTGCTGCATTATATTTACTATTTCATGTTTAATTATTGATACTGAGAGGTGGTAATTCTTCAGTTATTTTAGTAACTGTACAGTATTTTCTTCTTTGACATACACATACACCCACCACTTTGCTTTATTAGTATATCTTATACTTCTAAAAATTTAGCTGTTATCTAGAAACCTCATTTCTCATAGGGACAATATCAATAAGACAGAAATGGTGCTTTCCTATGTCTTGTTTATTTAGTCTCTCAGTCCAACAAAGAATGCATATCCATAATAAATATATGATTCATATGAATTTTTGCTTTAGAGCAAATTTCATATACTGAGACATGAGTTGTAGTTTGTAGTCTCTTGTGCCTACGTAGAATATCTAACTTATATTATTCTAAAATTCTTGAAGGGTTATATTAAATGGGATTTTTTTCTGAAAGATGCTGTAAGCAGTTCTTTTAGTAACCATTCATCAGCAGAAATCATGTAACTGTACATGGTTAATGTATTTTAGATTGTGTAAGCTATGCACTTTTACTTTTAAAACTTCAAGCATCAATTATAAAATCCAAACAATCCATGGAATTGTGAATTCTCTGGAATCCAGTTCTTTATTTTGAATGGAAAACATATTGCAACGAATTATTTGAAGTGTGCGAATATTGTTAGCTTTTAAAATAGATATATGCTGAACTAAGTTTTGATAATTGTAAGTAGGTGTTCAAGCAACTCATTTTCTTTAAATTGGGTTTTAATAGCTAACTCAGTTATCTCATGTACTTTAATTTTCAAGGAGCTGAAATTGCCGTTTACCTTTTTAAGTGGACACATTCACGAATTGCGTATTCATGTACCATGGACAAAACTGGGTTCAGAACCAGTCGTGATTACAATCAATACAATGGAGTGTATCTTGAAGTTAAAGGATGGACTACAGGTAAAAATTGGCAAGCCCAAATAAAGCAAGACAGTGTGAATTGAGTCATATGGCTTCTTAATATTGGTAGTTGTTATTTAAAGTGTTTTCTGTTAGTAATCTTATGTTTAGAATTTTGAAGAATGTTTTACAACTTTTGTGAAATTATGATTGAAAGTTCAGGAAAATTATGTTTTCGCTCAAAGCAGTTGGTACCATTTTTTTGCTGAACTGGTAATAGTTTGGGATTGACCAGTCAAATTCTTTCAGGTTTTTTTTTTTAACCAGCTAATTCTCTGGATCTCTTTATTTGAGATGGCTATTGTTGTGACACTAGGAAAAGATACAGGAGTATTATTTTTGGTTTAATATAGTTTAATCTTTCTGTACCATTGCTTGAATTTCATGTAAATTTCTTGACTTGGAATTTATCTTTATAGTCTAGTAACTGGATATTCTAATTTGATGTTGAACATACTAAGTGGTTGGGAAGCATGCTGAAACTGAGTTGTCAAGGGTTTTTTTTGGCAAACACCACAATTGGAAATGTCAGAAGCAGAGATTTAAGGATTCAAATGTTGATAGGTTTATTGCAAAACTGTATTCATTATGAAAGAATTTCAGCAATTGCTATATGTCAGATCAAGCTCTACTTATAGTGAAATCAAGTTTCAAATTCCTGCACCATTTTCTCCTGGTCTTGTGGTGCAGTCTGTTTTAATCTTTCTTTTGATGGGAGGAGTAATCTCTATATGTCCCTTATGTATTATTTTATATCCTGCTTTTATTATTTTTATAAACAACTCAAAGTGGCTAACACATCTGATATTCCTTCTTCCCCCTATTGTCCCCACAACAACACTGTGAGTTGAGTGACTGGCCTAAAGTCATCCAGCTGTCTTTTGTGTCTAAGGCTTATAATGAACTAATCTGGATTTAAGTTGTTTGCTTTTGACCTTGGAAGAATTTGTCTTCACACCTGGAATTGTGCAGTTATGCATTATTTCCAGTAGTAAATGTAGATGATTCTTCCAGATTTATCATTTTAATGAGGTAAATATATAGTCAGCAATAATTTATTGGAAATGCATTAAAGCATGTATCTAATTTATTAAAATTAAGAGCCAGATTCTAAAAAAAAAAAGGAAGCCACCATTTACCCAAATTGAATAAATGTTGAATTGGGGGCCTAATTGTCAAATCCATTACAGGTAATCCTTGAATTACAACCATAATTGAATCCAGAATTACAGTTGTAAGTTGTGCTGGTTGTTAATTGGGTCATCACGTGACCGGACCTGATTTTATGTTAAGAGAACCCTTTTTACCTAATGGCCATTTTGTTTGTTTGCAAAAAATGAAGTAAACACTTTGTTAGAAACGCTTACTGGTTTTTGACAAAGATCATTATAAATTGCGGTCAGAGGACCACAGGATGCTGCAAACTGTCATAAATGTGGACAGGTTCTGAATGCCCAAAATGTGATGATGTGACCATAAGGCAGGGGGATGGGGCTAAGTGACCAGTCATAGGTGGAGGACTAACAGCACTTAATTTTAAAGATTTGCTACTCCTGGCCCAACGTTTCCTTAAGGAGTGTATTCTGAATCATCTTCTAGTTCCGTGCCCACACACATCATATTTGCAGAGACTGAAGGGAGTAAATTAATGAAAAATGTCTAATAGTTAGACATAGTCTACTAACTACTAAATGGAATTTACTGCCCTAAAATTTATAAACTGCTTTTATAAGATTTTTCTTTAATTTATAGATGATACATCTATTATTTCTGGCCAAAGAGTCAGTTCTTTGTTTTCGCATTTGAGCAAGAAGTTTCAATGAGGTATAAAACTTAAATCCAGATGCTAGGGCTAAAAGGCCATAACTCATGCTTTGTTGTGATCCAGTAGCTGGCTATTGTTGGGGACAGAAAAAGAGGATGAAGATGGACCTTGTTCTACATATTTTGTAATATTCTAAATCAGCAATTGAACTCTGGATTATCATTCCTCTCTCTCACATATACTTTTCCTTTAATTACCAATTTGTTAGAACTTTCTTTTTTCCCTTTTAAGTACTGTATTCTCAAGACAAAAATAACAAAATTAATGTTTAGAAAGAGTGGATTGACCCCTTTACAAGGGAATTCTGTGCAGATTGTGGTCATTGCT